ATATAAATATATAAATATATAAATAAAAGAAGGGAAGTTATGTTTAGTCAAGACAGAAAACATCAGCAACAAAATGGAAGTTAAAATTAAAAGGTATTGAAATCATGCAAAACCTATTAATTAAGTGCATTATGGCACAAGTGGCTGCCATTATAGACAACTTAGATTCACTAATTAACCTAACACACATCTTTGGACTGTGGCAGAAAACTGGAGCAATGAGAGAAAACCCACCAGGCACAACGAGAACAAAGGCCCCAGGAATTAAACCACAGCGTTAACCACTGATGCAAGATCAAGATACACAACAGACACTGTGTGAAACTTGTTTGAATCCTTTTCAGTAAATAGCAAAACCTTAAAATCTAAGAGTAAAACTAATATTTTTGTCAATACTTGTTGTTTTTGGACAAAGATAGACTGTCTCCTTATATCGGTTGATAAATCTAGATTAAATTGTCCAAATATATACCTTTTCCTTACCAACTTCAGACATCTATTGGCCCTCAAAAAAGCACACATAGTTATTTTGAGGTCCTACAATTAGCCCTATTAATAGTAATACTCAGCTTATCTGTAGGCATAGAAATGGACTTTTACTGTACCACTATTTTTGAGAGGATATCCTGGTAACATCAATGTATTCCACAGCAGTCTGAGAACAAGCTACCTGCCTTAAGAAACACACTTCCAAACACGCTCTCGAGCTTTATAGTAAGTTTTATTTCAGAGATTGAAATCCCATCTGCCTCGATCCCAAGAATTATAGTCAAAGTCTACCAGCAAATGCTGCTCCTGCTTCCTGAAACAGTGTGTTAGTCCAAACCACAATCTTTTGTTCAGTACATGAAAAATAGCTTGTGCAACTGTAATACATTACATCACAAAAATAGTATTCAGCACTCATTGATACTCTCATGTGAAGCTTTGGTAGTAAAAGGTGAATGAGACAGAGATGGGATGAGGAGGATGGTGTTGGTGTAGAGTTACACCCAGCCTTCTGCCATTAGGAAGGCCGGGAAAGGGTGATGAGGCTGAGCATCAAGTGTATGTCTGTGTGTGTGTGTGTCTCCATTTCTCTGTGACTGCACTTTACCTGTGTGTGAGCATCTGCGAGGGTGAGGAGGGGGAAGGGTTTTCTGTGTGTGTGTTTTCACTGGTTGTGTGCTCAACTGAAAATAAGTCTGCATGCACATGAAAGGATGAAAGGACATCGTGTAGCCTTTAACATCGCCCACAATCCCCTGCAGCAAGGTCATGCAAACCATGAATCGATGGAGATTGAATAAGAGCACTGATCGAGGTGAACAAAAAGGCAATAAAGCTCAAGTTGGAGGTGATTTGAACTGTGCCGTTTGTAACCACCACACCTGCCTCACCGCAACATTTTACCTTCCTCATTACCGAAGGTTTAGTGACAGTCAAACCTGGGCTTTAAAAGAGGACCTTAAACGATCATTTTATGCACATAAAAGCTTCTTCCACAGGTTGCCACTTTTCTCAATGAAACCTCGGGGGAATAAAAGCTTTGCCCGCACACCAGCCATATTAGGCAGGAAGGTGTATTTGCATGTTTGAGGTCCCTAACTGGAAAGTCACACACTTTATTTAAAAAAACCCCATTAAATTAAGCATCTTAGCTTTGCATAATGTATCTGTGTCACACTTTAAAGTATGTGCCACAGCTTCACAAGTCGGAATTCCTACTAATGCAAATATTGTCACATCTCTTCACCGTGCACGCCTGTAAATGTTAATATTAATTGGCAAGATCAGAGGGAAATCACAGCTTTGCCTACAGCAATTAACCTTCTACCAGCGAGCCAGCATCTGGATGTGTGTGTGTGTGTGTGAGTGAGTGTGTCTGTTCACTCATTCATCCATTTACAGGATAAAAAGTGTGAATGGAGAGGCAGGTGAGTAGATGGATGGATGACGGGGGAGTCTGTTGAATGCCTTCTTCCTCCTTGCATCTCTGTAATAGCCGGTGATAATGTTGTTTATAGGAGGGGCAGCTGTTCCTCATGTGACAGCTCGTCCTTTTGCGTTACTAAGCACACACACACACACACACACACTCCAAGGCGGCCTGACTGCGGCGCTGATCGCGTCTTGACACCACTGTAACAACTCCGCCTCATTCTCTGAAATGATAATTGGGGAGAATCCTTGGCTATTGTCTCAAGTGCATTACATCATGCCAGCCTCTCAGTCTGCATCCCGCCCCCCTTCAACTCTCTGCTATGTCTCTCCACTGTGACAGCCGGCCGTGATTTTTTTTATTTCTCCGGCAGAGCTTCACAATGTCAACCACACGAAATCTATACATTATATACACCACGTATGCTTCCACACCAAGCGCTCACTACTCCCCGCAACATCCCCATCAGTCCAGAGTTGTGGAGATAAAAGGGGCACCGCAGAAAATCACCTTGAGCCCGAAGGAATGGGGCAATGTAGGTCACTGCGATACCGGCGGCAACAGTGTGCATACTCACAATTTGTTCCTTTACTATCAGCAGAGGCTCTGGCCGCGGATCAATGACAACTGCAGTCTGTGCAAGCTATACCATGAAGCGGACAATCCTAGGAGGCTTCTTCAGTGCAAAGAGCCAACGACGCCAAGGATACGACCCTAAAGGTGCGGCTGGTCCCCGCCGCTGGCATTGTCAAAAAACAAAAGAGCAGGAACGATCGCCAAATTAGCCGGGTCGGGTAATGACATCTGATTTCCGGGGATCCACACGCACCGGTTAAGAAATTATGGCATGTTACAAATTCTGCTGTGATAAGCGGAGCTGGAAAAGACCATTGTAGGAGCTGACGGAGGGGAGGCGTGTGGAGTCTTAAAGTTGCAGCTGTGCAATTCTCTTTTCTTTATGTGCAGACCTATAATAATACGACTAGTACTACTAATAACAACAATAATAATAAAAGTGTTCAGCGTGTTAAAATATTTGATTTAGCCTGCTACATTTAATAGGTGTAAGATTTTATTTCTGACTAAAATAAAACGTGAAAAAGCGAAATATCTTCAATGTATGCCAGTAAACTATGATAAAATATCTGTTAGTACTGAGAGTACTTCTGTAAAATGTAAAATAGCGTTCCCCCAACCAATTAGAAAGGGCAGGGGAAAGCTCCTTTTTTCAGTCAGGCAGATGCCACCAGAAGCGATGTTCACCTTTTCCAGCCACACAGATGGTCTTTGCCAGATTCCCAAACGCTGTAGTTGGGAGATGCTTGGGGTCAGCCACCACTGCCTTCAGTCCCGAAGGCTGTTTGTCCAATTACCTAGGAAACAGTTGTTGTCCAATACAAAAGCCATTAACATTTACACTAGCTTGTTTCTTTTCATCAGGGACTCTCTCACAAAATCAGATCATAGAAGAATTTTAGTAATATTTTGTTCAAGAGATTGTAATAGCTGCTTGTAGAAAGACACTATATGTTTAAAAAAAAACGTTCTTAAAAAATGCAGGGAAAGGTGGGCTAAGTAAAAGTTACCATGGGGTTACAACAGCTTGATAAAAACAATAAAAACTAGGTTTGATTGAAAGTGAAATATAAATACTGGATTTGTTATATATATATAAAAAATATGACTGTGCAACTAAGTACAGGTGATTTTAAACGCAATAAATAATGATGAATTAAAAGAAAATTAAATGGTGAGTTTAAACGATGGAGAGACTTGAGAAGAATCTAACTTATTTAAATGTTTTTTTTTAAAAAGATGGTTAAAAAAGAGTGGAACAGACAAAATATGTATTAAATAGATGTTATTATAGATAACATTAATACAGTTTTGTCTTTAATATGGTACTGTAACATAAGGTTTTGGTTCACATATTTGTGATCTTTATGTGAATTTAAACCTGTAACGGGTCATTATTTTTTAAGTAAAAGAAACGTGGAGTAAATTTTGAAATAATATTTAAAGACGACACTGCAAAAACAGTGTTGGTCTTCATTGTTGTAGTAAGTCTTAGTGTTCATTGTGCAGTAGCACTTTACACAAATAAAGATGCTGTTGATTTTCAGCACTCACATGTATTCAAGATGACTGGATGTCCATATACATTTGACCAATCCTGAGTCTATGAGTCACTGTTTTAAACTCCCTTATATTTATTTTCACATTTACAATAACTATAATTATGGTGATGTTGTTACTATTATTGTATTATTACTATTGTAACACTACAAAACATCTTAAGAACTATTGGGGCTTGATAGAGCAAGCACAAAAATAGGATGAAATGGTACATATTTCCATACATAGTGGAGAGTGTTTTTGCTATTCAATTATTAGCTTTTACGATAAAAAATAAATAAAGAAAGAAACTAGGACATACCTGGGTTGTGGTACCGCATTATACTGTACTATAGTTCTTTCCTACACGTCTTAAAGTCTGTAATTCCCATAAAATGGTTTAGAAAATCAAACTACTGGAATAGGGTCTGTTGGTCAATCCAACATGCTAGGTCAAAATAACCCATAGAGGTTTGTCTATATTTGACCCAGCCCTCTGCTGCACAAACAAATCAAAACGTGTGTGTTTTGTGTGTATTTAATTTAAACCTTTATGTCTTGTTCGGGGTCAGAAATGCTGAGGGGTTCTTTCCCATTGTTGAGGCTTACTGACAAAAAGATGAATAATAAAAACTAAACACAGGCACTGAATTTCTCCATTATTTTCTACTTGTCTATGTACACTGCTGTGTGCTGCAGGCTATAAAACAGTGGGCATGGATTTCTTGTGATTGAATATATAGAAGCCAGTCTAAATATGGACAAGCAATAACAGGGATTAAAATGGCCAATACTTTGAAATATCAGCAAAGAAACAAAGACAGAAATGTTTTAAATTATTTCATAATATTTTAATAGATTGCATGTAGATGAATATTTCATTATATTTTAATAGATTTAAGGAGATCCCATTTATTCTTAGCAAGTGTGGCAGGGTGGTGCAGTGGTTATCCTCTTGTCTCACACAAAAGAGTAAAAATAGTTGTCTGCCTATAGCTGCATTAGCCCTGCAATAGACTGGTTACCTGTCCAGTAATTAACCTGGTCCAAATGGCATAGCCTCCATAAATAAGAGTGTGAAAAAACTGAGTACAGTGGAATCAGTTTGAAATGATCTGAGCTTTACAGCATGGTGTACTATTCTACTGGAAGCAGCAGTGTGCACTTTACACTGTAGTATTGAAGGGTTGGACATGGTAAGCAACAGGTGTGACATTTAACTGTCACTCAGTTGGTACTGTGGGACCCAAAGTGTACCAAGAAAATATCCCCTACATCATTCCACCACAACCTGAACATTTCATAGAGCGCAGGATGGATCCATAGTGGGATGTCTTGAACATGTCTACATGCCTAAAAGCTGAGTTTCTGATATGCAATTGGCTGATTAGATTTTTGCATTAAGAAGCAGTTGAACAAATATTACTAATGAAATGGTTGGTGAGTGCGTCTTGTTTTATGTATCATATCAAAGATGATAAGAGCCAATAACAAAGATATTCTGATGATATCTGCTACATTATGTTTTTGTTAATTATTACAAAATGCTATCGCTATTTTGTAATAAAAGTTTACTTACTGGTTTGTGAACCTAGTGTCAAACCCAGGTCTTCTTATAAAGCAGCTTAGTCAAAGCAGTTGGTGTAAACAGATACAGATACCCACAAAGTGTCCCATTCTAAGCTCATTCTATTTTAACCCAAGCCACAGTTTTTTAAAAATAGTTTTATATTTATAAAGATGTACTTTATGGTATTTTTTAAACTGTTTAGAAAGTTAAATAAACCTCAGATGCTTTTCATAATAACAATCAGATAATTCTGTAAAAATGGCAATGGGATTTTAATTTTTAAAATGTCAAATATTTTAACTGAACACTGTCTGAGAACTCTCTTTCCTACTGCTTTTTCACTAAGGCTCTAACTTTCTCTCACAGCAGCAGTGTGGGCCCGTGACAAATTGCTGCCTGTAGACTGCCCAAAGATTAATGCCACTGTCCATGGTGCTGAATTCTGTATGCTTCTTGTATGTGCTGTACTGTGCTGCAGGCCTCTTAAAAAAGGTATACTAACACCCCCACACCCCCTCCCCAAAGTGTTGCAAAACAGTTGTTTCCCTGGATTATTACATTAGATCTATAATCATGTCTCTTGAAAAGCACCAATGTTTCTGTTCACAGGAATTACAGTCCCTGGATTCTGGGAAAAGGTCCATTCTGGAAGATTTATCTCTCGGCTGCCAGTCACTGGCTTGGATATTTAATTAACATACGTTGTGCACTAGCTTGGTGTTTGCTGTCTCATTTTGGTCTTTAGCTGGCACTAAATCCCACCTGGGAGAATGCTGTCAGATGTTTCTTTTCTCTGTTGTAGCCCCAACTTGCTTCCCCCTCCTGTTCTTTTCCTGTTGTCTGACAAATTAGCAAAACAGACACAGAGCTAAGTGGTGGGGTGGAGTGCTGGCTCTTTTCTCAAGTGAAAAAAAGTACACCATGATGACAAAACTCAGCAGTAACCATCAGGGCTGTAAAATGAAGCCAGCTAACAAGTGCCAAAAAAGTGCAATTCTTTGAGTGGCCACTAGAGGCTGGTTCCAAAAAAGCAGTCAAACTATAAAGTTGCTGTAAAGTCGCTTATTTCCCAATTTATAACAATTCTGATTAATGGAGGATTTTTTTTTTTAAGATTACCTAAAATCTTACTAAGAATTAAAATTTATTTACATTTACAAAGTTCGGGTCATAGTCACTGTGACAGACAGCTGTGTGTTAGTGGACTCCGTGAACTGAGGGGTGAACTTCAAAGATTAATAGGTTTGCTATTCATGTTTGTCTTGTTGGGGCTTTCTGGAGCAAAGAAAAGCATTGCTAGCATTTTCTAATAACTTCAGACACCTTTTTTTTCATCCAAATAATGATAATATTTGGTCATATATCCAAATATAATCATATCTGGCACACCAAAATCCAACTTATAACACTGCAGCTTCACAGTCCCCTTGTTGTCATCACAGTGGTGTGTGTGCTTTGAATCCATGGCCAGAAACAGAACAGTCTTTATTTTTCATCACTCAGCTTTGAGTTCGATTAACCTTATTGTGAGAGTCTCAGATGGTTTTTGGCGAGATAGTAAATACTGATCGTTCCCCATGATGATTAGAATGACAACAATATCATTCAGTCCCTGTTTATAATGCAGCCTAGTGTTCGTATAGCATACCACCCACTATATTGACCTGCCATGTGCGTGTTCTACAGTGTTGAATCACTCAGTCATATCATATTAATTTCCCCTGAGAAGTCAGTATAGGCCTCTGCATATGAATGACTATAATGCAGCCAGGTGATGAAAATGAAAACATTTTCATATCCGAATGCCCTGAAGCTAAGAATTCCCATATATTGACTGGTTTGACTCAGAGACTCTTGCACCATCAAAGCTTAAACCTAGGATTTGTAAGGCGGTTCTTTTGACTGCACAATCTGTGGAAATGAAGCTAAAATAGGCACCAGTTAAGAAGCAATGATCAAAGTGATAAGGGAATCAAGAAGAAGCTATAAAAAGGCACCTATAAAAAGAAAAGAGACCTATGACGCTGCTTCAGTCTGATCCTCCTCCTCATAGCTTGACATGCTCAATGTTTGAATGTCATTAAGCAAGTCATCCCCTCCCCCCTTTCGTCATGCAAATTGACCTCTTTTCACACGCGGAGATTTTGCATGCAAATCTCACATCAAAATCTCAATGATCTCAGAGGTTAA